AAGCCTCCCTTTCCTCTACAACTCTTCTGGAAAACAATTTGACAGTTTTATTTCAAAAACCTTAAAAATGTTTGTATTATTTAACCTGTGATTACATTATGAGTAACTTTTCTGAGGTATAGTTGATTTTCAATGTTGTGTTAATTTCTGCTGAATGTAACACTGTGTGTAAAACTGTGTGACACAGTGGAAGCAGTGTCAGACTTTATTTTTTTGGGTTCCAAAATCACTGCAGATGGTGACTGCAGCCATGAAATGAAAAGACGCTTACTCCTTGGAAGGAAAGTTATGACCAACCTAGACAGCATATTAAAAAGCAGAGACATTACTTTGCCAACAAAGGTCCATCTAGTCAAGGCTATGGTTTTTTCAGTGGTCATGTGTGGATGTGAGAGTTGGACTGTGAAGAAAGCTGAGCACCGAAGAATTGATGTTTTTGAACTGTGGTGTTGGAGAAGACTCTTGAGAGTCCCTCGGACTGCAAGGAGATCAGTCCTGGGTGTTCATTAGAAGGACTGATGCTGAAACTGAAACTTCAATACTTTGGCCACCTCAATCAGAGTTGACTCATTGGAAAAGACCCTGATGCTGGGAGCGATTGGGGGCAGGAGGAGAAGGGGACAACAGAGGATGAGATGGCTGAATGGCATCACCGATTCGATGGACATGAATTTGGGTAAACTCTGGGAGTTGGTGATAGACAGGGAGGCCTGGCGTACTGCGGTTCATGGGGTCACAAAGAGTCAAACATGACTGAGCGACTACACTGAACTAAATTTCTGCTGTACAGTGAATCAGTTATATGTATATAGACATACAACACACATTCTTTTTTTAAAAATCTTTTCCATTATGGTTTATCATAGGATATTGAATATAGTTCTCTGTGGTATTCGGTAGGACTTTGTAGTTTATCCATTCCAGTGTAATAGCTTAAATCTGCTAACCCCAACCTCCCACTCCGTCCCTCCCCAAACCTCTCCCCCTTGACGACAACTAGTCTGTTCTCTATGTCCACGAGTCTGTTCTGCTTTGTAGATAAGCTCATTTGTGTCATATTTTAGATTTCACAAATAAGTGATATCATACTTGTCTTTCTGACTTCAGTTAGTATGATAATCTCTAGTGGCATCCATATTGCTGAAAGTGACATTATTTCATTCTTATTTATGGCTGAGTAGTATTCCATTGTATATATGTGCCACATCTTTATCCATTCATCTATCGTTGGACATTTAGGTCTCCATGTCTTGGCTATTGTGAATAGTGCTTCTATGAACATTACATTATGAGGAATTTTAACAAAAATTTATGTAAAAGATATTTATCACAGTAATATTTCTAAAAGCATTAAGAGAATGCTAAGAAACTATTGGTATATCCACTTGATGGGAAATTATGCAAAAGTTAAAAGTGATACTGAAGATTTTTCTTTTTAATTTTTGGGAGGTTTGAAATAAACTCACACTGTATAAACTCAGAGGTCCAGAAAGCATGAAGTGAAAAGTAGGTTTTCTTCCCGCCTATGTTCCTCTGCCCCATTCACCCCCGCATAAGAGGAACATTTAAAACACGTGAGTCTGTTCTTTTTCCTCCTTACCCAAATGGCGGTTTGTGTTGCATCTTGCTTTCTCCCCACTTTATAGCTGGTGATCGTTCCATAACAAAACACAGAGCTTCCTCATTTTTTTAATGCTTGAATATGATTTAATTGCATAGATATATTACAATCTATTTAGCTAGTCCTCCACTGATGGCATTTAGTTCTTTCAAATCTTTTGCCAGAATAACCATGCTGCTATAATTACACCCATATTTCACTTTGCACATATGAGGATATCTGGAGGGTAAACTCTAACATGGAATTGTTGGATCAAAACATAGGAGCACCTAAGAAATTCCTTGGTGCTCCAGCGGTTAGAACTCAATGCTTTCACTGTAAGACTTGTGGCCAAAAAAAAAAAAAGAACATTAAAAATTTTGGTGATCTAGCAAAATTTCTCTTCACAGAGATTTTCAATTTTTTCATGAAAGAGTGCCTGTCCTGTCCATTTGGCCAGCACCATGTGCTGTCAAACTTTATGTTAGCAAAGGTGTATTAAAGGATTTTAGAAAATACTAATGAAATATTAAGCTACAAAAGCAAGACTCAAATATGTACAGTATAAACTTAAAAATGCAAATGTAGGACTTCGTGGTGATTCAGAGGTTAATAATCTGCCTGCCAAACATGCAAATGCATATTATTGGAAGAGATGATGCCAAAATATTAACAGTGGTTTATATTAAATGTATTGATTCATTATTCCATAATTGCTATAGTCCGACTCTTTGCAACCCCATGGACTGTGGCCTGCCAGGCTCCTCTGTCCATGAGATTTTCCAGGCAGGAATACAGGGGTGGGTTGCCATTTCTTACTCCAGGGGTCTTCCTGGAGTAGTGTTATTGCTGGAGTAGTGTTATTTAACTTCATTAGTAAAATGTCCCAAATTTGTTACAGACCCTTGTGGGCTTCATTGGTGGTGTAGATGGTAAAGAGTTTGCTTGTGATGCAGGTGACCCAGGTTCGATCCCTGGGTTGGGAAGATCCCCTGGAGAAGGAAATGGCAACCCACTCCAATATTCTTGCCTGGAGAATCACCAAGAACAGAGGAGCCTGGTGGGCTACAGTCCATGGGGTTGTAAAGAGTCAGACACGACTGAGAGACTAACACATTTCTGCTGTAAAAAACAATTCAAAGCAAGACCCATGGATATAGTACAAATACTACTTGTTTTTTTATTCCCAACACCTGTTGAGTTGATGAGGTTTATAAATTAGTAACGAATGAGGAATATTTTCTGACAGTGTGGACAACTATTTGAAATTTCCAATCTTGCCACCAGGTGGTGGAAGAGAGTTAAAATTCAGGGGACCTTGTGGGATCTGAGCCATGAAAATCAAGTACAATGTACTATGAGAGGTTAAGCAAAATGTTAAAAATGAAAATTTAAACAAATATCCAAAACTCCCAGGAAAAACCTTGATGCTATCTGTGGCACTTCAGCATCTTTCATTTCCCCAGTTGGCACTATTTCTTACCCCTCCTTCGTTGAGCCTGTCCTCCTGGTACTCCTGATGATGCTGTCAGACTTCCCTTTCTTCCTTCTAACCTCACCGCTTTCCAAGGAGATGAACAACCAGATGAATGGATGCATGTCCTCGGAGTGACCCAGAACCGGAGGCCACCTCTCCATCTCTTTTGTTGCAGATGACTCTATTGGTAGGATTTCATCACAGGGGTGGGTGAGGGTGGGTGGTATTACCAGGCAGAGCCTTCCAACTGTTCTTCAAATCACCCCAGCAGCTGTCTTTTCACTGTATCTGTACCAAGCTAGAACCTGCTCAGAGGCACAGTTTGCCTCTCCAGGTCTGAGGCTGGGGCTGGCTCTCTTGGCTTTCATCCTCCCCTCCTTGAGTGGATCTGTCTCAGGAATGACCTCTATCTTTGGCTCTGATTCTGTTTAGAGGGGCAGAGCTGTAACTGAGCTCCTCATACTTTAAAATACCTTATGATCTTGGTCAATCAGCCTCTGTGGGCCTCAGGTTGGTTCAGGGCAGGTAGCGCAGGGCAGTGCTCTGTCCTAGAGTGCCTTATCACTGCAAAGCGGGGATGAGTCTGACTTGCCCTGGGTTATGAGGGTGTTCTACTAGGAGAATGCAGGGAGAGGAAGAACGCTGGGGCATCATAGTTCCGGAGGGATTGGTGGAGAAGGGTCTTGGGTCTGGATCCTAAGAATGCGGAACGGTCGGGGAGGAGCTGAGTTCTTGGACACCTTGTAAGGACCCCACTGAGGGACCGGGAGTCAAGGGCCAATGACTTTCCATGACTTTTAGACTAAAACATGCTTATCTGTGGCGGGTGCCTCTGGGGCCCCGCACTCGACAAGCTGAAGCGTCCACACCTGACGCGGCCAACAGCGTTGTCAGTGCTCAGACTTCACGGAGGCCACGCGCGGTCCCCGCGACCACCTCGGATCCGGCTGGGGCTCCTTTCACCAGCGCGCAGAGCCTGGATCTCTCCGCCAGGAACTGGGTCAAGGGAGGAGGGAGCTGTGGGCAGGAACCGAGCCGAATTCGGGGAGGCGACAGAATCGGTTCCTTCCAGTCCTTAAAGGTCTCCCGAAGGAGGGGGACGTAGGGCTCACTGACGCCTGACACCGCAGGGCTCTAACCCGCGGGCCGCCTCTCCCTTCGGCGCGGGACTAGTGCAGGGTGCGGGCAGACCTGGGGCGCGGCTCGGGCAGGAGTCGGGGGTGCAGGGTGGTACGGACCGCGGAGGGGCCGGGGGAGCGGGGCGTGGTGAGCGCTAGGCGCGGGAGCGGGGGCGGGGCCGGGGAGCTGGGCTGGGCGGGGCTCCGGGGGCGGAGCGGGGGTGGAGGACGGGGCCGGGCTATGCGGCTCGGGGCAGGCGGGGCGAAGCAGATGGGTGATGTGGGGCGGGGCTGAGCGGGGGAGCAAAGCGGGGCGGGGATCCGGGGACGGAGCGGGGGCGGGACGGGGCGGGGCTAGGCTCGGGAAGCAGGGCCGGGCGGTGCGGCTCGGGGCAGAAGGGGTGGGGCAAGAGGGTGGGCGGAGCAGGCGGTGGCGTGGGCGGGGCCAAGCTGGGGAGCTGGGCGATTGCGGCTCGGGGCAGGCGGGGCGGGGAAACTGGGAGGGGTGGAGTGCAGTGCGGGGGCGGGGTGGAGAGGGGGGGACTGGGAGGGGCTGGGCCCGGTGGGCGGGGCCTGGCAGTGCGACTCGGGGCCAGCGGGGCGGGGCCGAATGACAGCTGGGCGGGGTTGGGCTCGGGGGGCGGGGCCGGGCTGTGAGGCTCGGGGCAGATGGGTGGTGTGTGGGGCGGGACGGGCGGTGGCGTGGGCGGGGCTTAGCTCCGGGTGCGCGGCCGGGCTGGCGGGTCCTGACAGTCCGCGTCCCCGCGCGCCTGCTCCGGTTCTCTCCGCTGCTCGCTAGCCAGCCATGACAGGCTCACTGTTCAAGGGGAACTTCTGGGTAAGTCGGCGAGGCAAGGGGTCCCATCACCCGGCTTGGGAGTTGGGGGCCTCGAAGGGAGCCGTGGGCCCCTGTCCGGAGCAGAATCGGATCGGACTGGCCGCCGCCGGCCCCTCTCTGCGCTGCCCCCAGCCCGCCGCGCGTCCGCGAGTCCCCGGTGTCCGGTTCGCAGGGTCTCCCTCGGCCGTCCGCGCCCCGGGTCACCGCAGACAGGTGTAGCCTTAGAGCTGGGACATTCCCCCCATCTCACAGCTGGGGAAACCGAGACCCAAAGGGAGGAGCCACCCTTTGGGGACAGTCCGGGGACAGTCGCCGGGTGGTCCCGGAGGCTGCGCTGTGAGCTGATTTGGGGGGGGGGGAACGTGGGTCAGAGAACGTGCGGTAAACTTCGCCGGGTTGTTTGGCTTTTCCAGGTCCGCGGAAATGTACAGCCTGTCCGAGCCTGAAGACATTAGCGGGGTTCTCTAGCAGAAGCTTTGCCGGTCTCGTAGCCCCGTTTCCTGAGCCCCTCCCAGCCTTTGCCCCCTGTCCCCCTATCCAGAGGGAGGCTGGTGCGAACCCGAGGACGGGCTCAACCAGGAGGCGGCAGCTCAGTCCTCTTCTCTGCCCAGTCCTCTCGCTCCCCAGGTGCCCCTCAACAGTTTGTACCCCCTCATTTGGAGGAGCCACCCTCATCCTTTTAAGGCAGGAGCAGAAAGTCCGCTTGTCTCCAGACTGAGCTACTGCTGCCAAACCGCCGCATGCCCTTACCTGCAATCCGGATGTGAAGTGAAAGTTGCTCCCTCTGTCTAACTCTTTGTGACTCTATGGGCTATACAGTCCATGGAATTCTCCAGGCCAGAATACTGGAGTGGGTAGCCTTTCCCTTCTCCAGGGGATCTTTCCAACCCAGGGATTGAACCCAGGTCTTCCACATTGCGGGCGGATTCCTTACCAGCTGAGACACAAGGGAAGCCCAGTACTGGAGTGGGTAGCCTATCCCTTCTCCAGAGTATCTTCCTGATCGAACTTCGGTCTCCTGCATTGCAAGAGGGTTCTTTACCAACCAACTGAGCTATCAGGGAAGCCCAAAGGAAAGCAAACTCGTTGGCCCCCCGTTTAGCCTCATAGCGCCTAGCAGGTTCCTGTCCCCCATGGAGAGTGCTGCCTAGAGAAACTTGGCCCTGTGACCTGGGGGACACAGTTTAGACCCTGCCTTGAGGAGTGTCCCTTTTTCTGGAGTTTTTGGGGTTCTCTTCAGGCACTGCCCACCTGTGGGGTGTGGTCCTCTCACTCCAAGCAGCTTCACAGAGAGGGTGCATGGCCTTGGAGCCCTTGGAGGAGGCCTGTGAATTCTTTGGGTAAAATAAAGGATCCCTGGGTCCCATGCCAGACACTGTGGGAAAAAAACAGCACAGGGAGCCCTGTTTTTCTTCCCCTCAATATGTAGCGTTCAGTTTTCAGGTCTGTGCCCAGTGTCTTCTCTTCAGGGAAGCCCTTCCTCATTGCGCCCGATAGTGCATGTTGTATTCCTTCATAGTTTTTGTCCTTTTTGGTTTTGAGATTGGGGGCCTGCAAGCATGTGAGCACCTTGTGGGCAGACGTTGTCTGGCTTTCAGTGCCACTGCCCCTTGCACGGGCTGATGCCCGTGAGATCTCAGCAGATAGCTGTCGAATGAGTACAGTGGATCTATAAAACAGACAGGGCGTGTAGTGGGTTGAGAGCTGCGGCCTCCATCCTCAGAGGGCTCCCAGGCTGCAGGAAGGCAGCCCCCCAGCTGCTCCCAGAGGCAGTCTTGCAGGAATGGTTAGGGGAGGGGGCAGACATGAGGTCTGTGTTGAGAGTTAGAGATTGGGTAAAGGTCCAGGGTAGAGAACTTTCTGGGTTTTTACTTTTTTTTTTCCCCCTCTGGGCTTTTGCTTTCAAAAGATACAAGATCCTGAGAGATAGTTTGCAAAGATATCTTCCATTATATCCATTATTGTCAAATAATAAGAACAGTAATAGCTAACATTACTGCGTATAGAGTCTGTGGCAAGCACTGTGCCAAACACTTTACATATACCACTCATTTAAGTCTCAACTACCCTATGGGGTACCTTATTGACTGCCCCATTTTACAGATGAGGAAACTGAGTGGCAAACAGGTTGAGCAACATTCCCACGATTGTAGAGCTGTTAAATAGTGCAGCAGGACTCTGCATAGACCAAGTGCTCATTGAGTGCTTTCAATGAGGCTGCTGCTCAGTGAGAGTGTCCTTTGGCATCATCAGATGTAGATGCTGAGACATCACTTGACTCTTCATGTGGATATCTTTCTCCTTCAGCTCCAACCACGAGCTCCTGGGGGGTCTGCACTGAGGGCCACTGTCCACTGAGCCCCCAGCGCTGTGATGGTGCTTCTCATACGGATGCTCAGGAACCAGGCAGACGGGACTGTCAGCCTAGATTTGAGAGAAAGAGGGTAGAGGGAAACTATTGGACACTTCCGGGGCTACCTGAGATGCTCTCATATTCTCAGGGATGGGTGGAGAGCGGGGAGCAAGGCTGTTGTTATCACTGAGGGGATGGCAGCAACTCACTCTTCAAGGACAAGAGGTTGTGATGGTATAAGGTAGAAAACTTTGAAAACGAGTGGGTATCAGTTGATTGAATTGAACAAATATTTGAGAAAATACCTTCTCTGTATAGAGGTGGCATTTGCAGGGATCAGAGCACTCTCTTGGGTTGAAGGCACATTCCTCATTAGGAAGCCAGCAGGGAGAGTAGACGTTAGTCTTGAATGCCTGTCCTCAGGGATATAGAGGACAAAGGGGTTGGGGGATGGGAGAGTTCTAGCAAGGGCCAGGGGGCAGAAAGGTTCTGTTCCAGGATGGAAATCATAGCGAAGGGACAGGAGGAGACCAATGAAAGGAATGGCAGAGGGTAAGAGAAGTCAGAGCCACAGGACAAGGTCACCAATTGAAGCCGGGCAGTTGGGGAGAGGAAAGAAAGGCTCGGAGCAGGCTCTGCATAAGGTGAGCAGGAGAGTGAGGTGCTGGTCCCAGAAAGAAGGAAGTCAGGCGAGGAACTGGTTTGTGGGGAGAGAAGGAGGAGGAGGCAGAAGTGATATTGACGGTATTAACCACAGGGGTAGCACTGGTGAAGACCGAGATTCGCAGCATCCTGAACCCCCCTGCCCAGCCCTCAGCTTTCAGGATGGTGCCAAGGTTGCTGGATATGGGGAGGTCCTGGGGAAGGAACAGGGGGCCAGACAGCAGGGTTTGGGGGTATTTTAATGTTTTAACAACCAGTACAAACAAAGAGTGTGCTCTGATGTCTGGTGGTCAACATTCTAGGTCTGAGGACTTGGTAGAGGTGGCCCCAGTACCTTGGAAAGGGTGTCCAAGAAAGACAGTACATGGAACAGCAGAGGCTCTGAGGTGGCCTGGCCAGGTTTGAGTCCCCATCTGCCCCTTATAGCTGAGTGACCTTGGGCAGATAACTTCAACTCTTATTCTGTTTTTCCATGTCGAAAAATGAAGATAATACCAATGTTGATGCTCTAGGACCGTTGTGAGGATTAAATCAGAATTCTATGCATGCCTGGCACATAGTGAGCACTTGGGATTGTCAACTATTATCAGCACAGAGGTGACAATTAAAGGAAGCGGTTGACAGTTACTCAAGGAGAAAGAATCAAGAGATAAGAGGTCCCCAGAGAAGCACTCTTGGTGAGTACCTTGTTTTGGCAGGAGTAGAGAGGCATCAGAGGAAGAGAAGCAGAGATGTAGGGATTCAACCCTCACCGGAGCCATCACAGGCCCAGGAGAGGAATGTTCCATGGAAGTTGAGAGGCCCATGGTCAAATTAGGTAGATGTTCCTGAAAAGGCATGAGGCAGCGCATACTGTATAAATAATCTTCAAATGCCACATGGGAAGTTCATTTAATGGAACCTTTCGGTGGATCTGTTTGAAAAGATCTCTTTAAAATTGGGATAGTCCCCAACTGGGTTTGCCCATGTGCTTTTTCCCTCCCAGCAGTTGTGTGGTTAAGCCATGCTGTTATTTATCCTGGTTAACGTCAATGGTATCTTGTGGGAATAAGACAGGGACCGTGGGTGTGGTTTCCAGGGCTCCAGGGAAGGTGGCCAAAAAGGGACAGTCCCAGCCTTTGGCCTGTGGTCAGAGGGGCCTTGCACAGGTGACCTGTTCCAGGAGAGGGAGATGCTTCCTGCCTCAGGACAGTCCCTCATTCCTCATGAGGGTGTGATACCAGCCTGACCCTGTGTGTCTTCTAGATCCTTATTTTGACCTGGTCTTCCTGATTCTCACTGCTCAGCCCAGACCAGCTGCCTGTCCTATCCTCTCCCACCCCTGTGCCTGCGGTGAGCGAGGCCTCTCTTCTCTGCTTGGGGAGTGACCAGGGGAAGGCTTGGGGCCCCTGAACTTGCTTGCTGCCCCTGACCACCCAGGGCTGTCCCTCTGCTTCAAACCTCTGACCACTTTGGAATCTATCCTTTCTGGGTCTTACCAGAGCTTGAGTTGGTGCTGTCCTGCCTGGTGGCAAAATGCAAGATAAAGGCGTTGACTTTCGTCCCTTCCAGTTCATTCTTTCTAGAGCAGCCACTGGGGTCTAGCTTTAAAATAATTATCAGAAATCTTTTTTTTTCTTCTTGTTTTAGCATTGTAAGAATTTAATAAGAGAGTCATGGGATCTACCTTCTAAGGAAAATAAGAAATTCTTCTCTTTTTTTGGCCATGAGGCATGTGGGATCCTAGTTTCCTCACCAGAGTGCGAACCCAAGCTCCCTGCATTGAAAGAGCAGAGTCTCAGTAACTGGGACTGCCAGAGAAGCCTCCAGGAAAATAAGAAATTCTTAGTGAAATATATAAAACAAAATCTAAACAAGTGGAAAGAAAACAAAAGTTTGTTAACAAACTTTTAAAAAATCTAGATGATGCAAGCATATTCTTTAAAAATCCAAATATTCCCAAATGACTTATCATGAAAAACAGTATAAATAGTATTTATGTTGT